GCGCGCCATGCGCGCCAGGCACCCCTGAGGCCCGAGCGTGCCAGGCACGCCGGGTGCGCCAGATGCGCCACGTGCTCCACGTGCGCAAGGTGTGCCGCATATTTCAGCCAGGCCAGGTGCGCCACGTTCGGGGCACGTGCAGAGTGTGTCAGGTGCGCCTGCGCACGTGACAGCCCACATCGATACACAAGCCGCCCCCCACCATCCTGGTCGAACACCAACGCCCATCATTGTGTCTGGTGGACCTGCGCACCGCTGGCCATACGCCACCACCCCCGCCGTCCCTGTCAAAATCCGCTTGACAGTCATCGCGGGGTGGCTGCGCATGATCCAGATTTAGCCGCGAGGTGCATGTTATATTGTTTTTGACATGGATGGTAGCCCTGTGCGCGGCAGGCAATATGCTGACACCCCCGCCGTCCCTATCAGAGACAATACAAAGTGCTCGCGGGCCTCACGAACGTGACTCAAGACTTTGCCCCAACGTGTACTTTGTATGTTGTTCCCAACCATCCTGTGGTGTCGGGTCCTCGTTTTGAAGAGACGGTGCCCCGCGTCTCCTTCCTCTCCTCCTCCGCCTCCTCTCCCCTCCTATCATCGTCATCATCATCATCATCATCATCATCATCATCGTCATGCGTCAAGCACACCCATTTTGGCACATCCCTCACACGTTTCGTGGCCCCATAGGGAACTCCACCTAAGGTCCAAGTGGCGCAGCTCGCATGGCGCCACCGCCCCATTTTGGCACACCCCTCACACGTTTCGTGGCCCCATAGGGAGCTCCACCTAAGGTCCAAGTGGCGCAGCTCGCATGGCGCCACCGCCCCATTTTGGCACACCCCTCACACGTTTCGTGGCCCCATAGGGAGCTCCATCTACGGTCCAAGTGGCGCAGCTCGCATGGCGCCACCGCCCCATTTTGGCACACCCCTCACAGATTTCGTGGCCCCTCAGGGAGCTCCTTTTGGCACACCCCTCACACGTTTCGTGGCCCCATAGGGAGCTCCACCTAAGGTCCACGTGGCGCAGCTCGCATGGCGCCACCGCCCCTTTTTGGCACACCCCTCACACGTTTCGTGGCCCCATAGGGAGCTCCATTACGGTCCAAGTGGCGCAGCTCGCATGGCGCCACCGCCCCATTTTGGCACACCCCTCACAGATTTCGCCCCTCAGGGAGCTCCTTTTGGCACACCCCTCACACGTTTCGTGGCCCCATAGGGAGCTCCACCTAAGGTCCACGTGGCGCAGCTCGCATGGCGCCACCGCCCCTTTTTGGCACACCCCTCACACGTTTCGTGGCCCCATAGGGAGCTCCATTTACGGTCCAAGTGGCGCAGCTCGCATGGCGCCACCGCCCCATTTTGGCACACCCCTCACAGATTTCGTGGCCCCTCAGGGAGCTCCACCTGAGGTCCAAGTGGCGCAGCTCGCATGGCGCCACCGCCCCTTTTTGGCACACCCCTCACACGTTTCGTGGCCCCTCAGGGAGCTGCACCTAAGGTCCCTGAGGGAAAAGCCTCACGGGGGACCTCGCGGGCCCGCTGGTGTTCATCGAGCCCCGCACGTCGGAGCCGTTCACCTTCCGCACCTCCAAGGTCACGCGGACGGGCTTCCCGTTCTCGCACGGCAGGGTCATCACCACGGTGGCGTGCCAGGGGCGCACCATGCGCGAAGGCGACGGGGCGGGGGAACGGCGCTCCGGGGACGGCCAGACCTCCGGGGCGCGAGCAGTCCGCGGCCAGACCTCGGTCCTGTGGACTCTCGCCCTGGGCCGTCGGCTGCCCGGCGCGCTGCTCCCTCGGCCGAGTCGCCCAGGTGTGATCCTGGACTGCGGCCGCCACGAGGTCGGGAACGGCAAGAAGGAGGACGACGACTGGTGGCTGGAGCTCTATGTGCTGCTCTCGCGCGCCACGCGCCGCGAGGGCCTCCTGCTCATGCGGGCGCCGCGCATCGAGTTCTTCCTGGCAGGGCCGCCGGAGGGCCTGCGAAAGCAGCTGGAGCAGTTTGCAGCGCGCACGAAGCGGCGCAGGAGGGAGGCGACGGCCCTCGCCAGGGAGCTCGGCTTCACCGAGTTTATCCGCGAGGCCTGACCTGAGCAGCGCCCCCCCCGAGCCGCGCCTTCTCTCGACTGCCCGCATAATTGTTCGGCCTCGCGCCGCGGACGGCCCGCGCGCGTCGCTGGGGCCCTCTCGGGGCGACCAGCGCGCGTCGCGGGGATTCCGCGCGGCGCTCTGCTCAGCGCCTCGTTCGCCCGTCGTCGCTTTGCCCAGCGGCCGGAGCCTTGCCCGCAATCAGCCTGCCGGCTAGCTCTCTGTGCTCCGCGCAGCGGACGACCTGCGCGCGTCGCTGGGACCCCTCCGCGGCGACCTGCGCGCGTCGCGGGGACTCCGCGCTGCTCTGCGCCCGCAGCTTTGGATTTTGGAGCGCGCAGGCAAAGAGGGGGGAAAAGAAGGGACGGAAACGGGTGCGATCCCCGTGAGGGGCGTGCCGACATGGGCGTCGCGGCGCGCGGGCGCTGCCGTCGGGGTTCCCGCGGAAGCTGCCTGCGGCGGCCACGCCCAGTGTCACAAGTGTTCGGACAGGCATGCTCGAGCCATTCACATTCATATACATTTACACTAGGCGTAGCCAAGATCGCATTCATGCAAATATACTCACTCCCACGCAGACCCATTCACACTCAGACTCTCTCGCGCTCTGGCTCACCCGCGTTCATTCTTTCGTAATCTGACCTATCGTATTCCTTTGCGTTGTGTCCCCCGCCATATTTCGGCATGCCCCTCATGCGGTTCGTGGCCCCATAGGGAGCGCCACCGAAGAAGGTACTCACAATTGCGGCATTCACAACTGCATATGGTTGGGTCTTTCGCCAGGATAATTTTTGGAAAGGGACGGTGGGGGGGTCGCATCGGGTTGGTTGCGCATGCCTCGAATTTGGAGGCAGGGTGTGGTTTTGTTGTATTTTTTTGAAGGGGGGTTGTTGGGGGGTCGGGAGCAGAGGGTCGGCATTGTTCCTGGTTGGCCGACGGTCACCAGGGTGAGGGGGTGCATATTCACAGGGAACAGTCATGCACCCCTCCCCAGAGGGGAAGAAGGGGGGTTGGAAGACGAAACTCCCTAAACCACTCAAGCGCCAAAGAGCTGGTGGGATTTCTCCGCGTCCCGGCTTCGTCTTGCTGTCGGACCGAGGTGTGAGATCGGGGTCGGTTCGTTGAGGATACCCTCATGTCTTCGTGCTTGTTGGATGTTCGAGTGCATCCTGGAGGAGGAGGAGAAGGAGGAGGAGGAGGAGGAGGAGGAGGAGGAGGAGGAGGAGGAGGGGGAGGAGGAGGAGGAGGAGGAGGAGGAGGAGGAGGAGGAGGAGGAGGAGGAGGATACCCCTGGATGTCCTGTGTGCCTCGGCCGGCGGAGGGCCTCGTGTTCTGGAAGGATGCTCTTCTGTCCTTGGCCCGACGGTGCGTGCGGGGTTCCAAAAGGGCCTTGCCTTCGAGGAAGGAGTTTCAGGAGGGGAAAAAACACACAGACACAATTAATCGTCGATTCCCAGGAAAATATGCGAAAATATGGGCAGTGGGGGGGGAGACAGAAACCTAGAAAATATGGGAAAATATGGGGGATAATTTTATTTGTGTGTATTTGTTTGTGTGTTCTTGGGCCCCCTCAAAGGAGTTGTCATCTCCTGCGCCGCGGAAGGCGGCGGAAGGCCGGCGGACATAAGACGCGGCCGCCTCCGCCGGCGGAAGCTCGGCGGAGGGCGGCGGAAGGAAAACAGTGCGTCCCCAGGAGGTGAAAACCTTTTTGGGCTCAGGGCTTCCGAAATCTGCTACATGTCTGCCCAGACATGCCACGTCCCGATTTTTTCAGGACGGCGTCCAGGGAAGTCCCGACCCGCTCCCCGGGACCGTTTCGTCGTCCCGAGCCGTTTTGTTATACGGCCCCGAGGCCGGGCGAGGCCCCCCCCCCGGAGCCGAAGACAATCGCCCAAAGTCGCCCGTCCTGATTTTGTTTGTCGACGCGATCGTGTCCTGCTGGGGACCTTCCTCCTCCTCCTCCTCCCCCTCCTCCTGCCCCTCCTCCTCCCCCTCCTCCTCCTCCTCCTCCTCCCTCCTCCTCCTCCTCCTCCTCCTCCTCCTCCTCCCCCTCCTCCTCCCCCTCCTCCTCCCCCCCCTCCTCCTCCTCCTCCCCCTCCTCCCCCTCCTCGACGCGAGCGTTCCTTGGACGTGGCGCCCGCGGCGCGCCGGCTCCGCGGAGAGCCCCGCCCGAGCCCGTGCCCGAGCCCGGCCGGCGCCCTGGAGGACCCCGGGCGGCCCGGCGCTCCACGCGATCGAGCGCTGGGAGCGGCTGCCGCCGCGGCAGCGCGGAGAGCGGCCGTGCGCAGAGCGGTGGGGCCGGCTTTTTCCTCTTCGCCACCACCACAAGTTGGAGAGGGGGGGTCCTCCACCTCCTCCTCCTCCTCCACCACCACCACCTCCACCTCCTCCTCCTCCTCCTCCTCCTTCTCGTCCTCCTTCTCCTCGTTTCCGCCACCGACACCAGAAGCTGGAGGGGGGTAGGAGGAGGAGGAGGAGGAGGAGGAGGAGGAGGAGGAGGAGGAGGAGGAGATGGAGGAGGAGGAGGAGGAGGAGGAGGAGGAGGAGGAGGAGGAGAGGAAAGGAGGAGGAGGAGGAGGAGGAGGAGGAGGAGATGGAGGAGGAGGAGGAGGAGGAGGAGAAGGAGGAGGAGGAGGAGGACGTCCCCCCCCTCCAACTTGTGGTGGCGGTGGCGGAAAACATGCCCATCACAGAGGGGGGGTCAGCAGGGCTCGTTTCGCTTCTTCCGATTCGATTCGATTCGAGTTCGGTGGCTTCGGTTCCGATTCGATTCGATTCGGGGTTCCGATGTGGGTTCCGATTTCTCAGCGGACGCCTGCAATCCTGCCGATTTCCGCCGATTCAATGTTTTCCGACTCGGCTGCCGATTTCCGCCGATCCGATTCATGTCTATCGCCGATCCGACTTATCGATTCGATGTTTGGCTCTTCCGGTGACGGGGGACAAATTCTCAGAAGCACCCTGCTTCTTAGAAGGCGCAGGCCTTGTCTATAGATGTAAGGCCGGCGCCTTCTAAGAAGTAGTAAGAAACCTTCCCCCCTCCCCCAATTCCTCTTCGCGCGCCGCCAAGGAGAGTTCTGGGAGCAGTGCGGCTACCTCCTGGGGAAGGCGGGGGGCAAGAAATTCAGATCGGGGGTTGCTCAAGGTGCCCCTGGCGCAAGTTGCCCCCAGCTTTCCTGTGGTTTTGGGAGCTCGGAAATCCTGGGGGCACCGTGGGCCAGGGGCACTTCTAGCGACACCCGATCAGAGGAGGAGAAGGTACCCATACCGCTACACTTGCCTCGCTTTCCCCTTTTGGGACTTCCGGTGAGGCCCTCGTCGGCACCGCCAGTCTCGCCTTGAAATGTTGGTCAGAACGCCCCCTGGGAGAGGTCCAGTGAGTAGCGGCATCGGTACCTTTTCACCTGTTGGTTTCCCTAGAAACGACATCCAATCCACATCCAGAATCCCTCCAGGACTCGTTTGCGGAATTCGAACCTTACCCTCGCCGATCACCTTGAGGCAATTCGATTTGGCGGTGCGGGTAGGGTTCGGAATTCTTCGAGCAAGTGACGAAATCCGGACCGTACCCCCGACTCCCATCAATTCAGGAGAATCGATGATTGGTGGGGGTCGGGGTAGGGTTCGGATGTCGCCACCTAACAGCCATGACCTCACTTCGGTCGTGATCAGATGCAAGCTCAGATGGGTCCTGAGTCAGGAAGATAAATCCTCAATCAGGGTTTGTCTTCCCGAGTCAGTGTGGATGCCGTCTCCCCCCGAGTGGGTCAGGGATCCTGACATCTTCTGGGCGAGACGGCATCCCCACGATGAGACTCTCGGAGGTTCCGTGCGGAGCTCCGACGGCGGCGCTGGAGGTGCCGCCAGTGTTGGTCCAGCGCCGATCCGGTGATTCCCGGACGTCCCAGGGGGCCGGGGATCCTGTTTCTTGCGCCGGCGCAAGAAATCCGCGCGGACCTCGGTGCTCAAGAGACGGGGGTCAATGCAAGCGGGGGTCAGCCAGGGCGCCAGATCTTGCAGGGTCCTGCAGGGCCAGGGTTGCACTGGCCCAGGTCTGGATGGATCCGGGTCAGAAGATCCCCGAGGACCTCCGCAGATGTTACAGTCATAAGACGCTGGCTGACGTAGGGATAACTTGTAGCTCAGCAGTGGTTATGTGTTTCGGGCCGTCCCTTGCTGCGTTGAATCTTCGAGGGATCTCGCCTGTCCCCCAAATAGGTGTCCTCTCCCTTCTGCCCGATGCGGGCTCGATGAGAGTTTGACGAGGATTTGACACGGATTCGACACGTGCTCGACGAGTCCGACATGGATTCGACGCGGATAGGGTCGCCACGGGACAGACAAGGTCCCCGAGGATGCAACGCAACCTTTGGCTCTAATCAGGTCGGTGGTTCCTGGTCGTGGTCGAAGCTCGACGCGGCCAGAACAGCTCCGCCGTTCCTCATTCAGCGTGCCTCCTGTCGGCCACTCGCAGAGAGTGGTCAGGTGGAGGGGGGAAGCCTTCTCCAGAAGCACCCCTGCTTCTGAGGCGCGGGCCTCGTTTGTCGAGACGAGGCCGGCTTCTTCGAAGAAGCAGCCTCCTTCCAAGAAGCCTATCTTCCTCCCCCTACCCCTTTTGTGCGCGACGCCAATTATGGTAGCACGGTGCTCGGAGGCCTAGAGGTTGACACCAACATCATGATCGGTGGTATGCCGCCACCGAGGGGAAATGACGCCTTATCTCGGTGATGGTGGTAACCTTTGGGCTTCTGGGTGGCCCAAACAATTTCACAAGCACCGAACTCTAGGATCACATTCCACCGGCAGAGGCGAGCCCCTGTGCTGGTTCTGGTGCTCCTCTCCAAGCCTCCAGCGATGCCTGCCTGTGGATGCCAATTCTCGAAACAGAACGAACCGCATAGGTATAACAGTTTGGCGCTCTGCGCGGTTTCCTTGGATCCGCGCTGGCCACCCCCAGGAGGAAGAGGCGGAGGAGGAGGACGAAGAGGAGGAGGCGGAGGATGAGGAGGAGGAGGAGGAGGAAGCGGAGGAGGAGGAGGAGTAAGCGGAGGAGGAGGAGGTAGCGGAGTACGAGGAGGAGAAGGAGGAAGAGGCGGAGGAGGAGGAGAAGGAGGAGGCGGAGGAGGAGGAGGAAGCGGAGGAGGAGGAGGGGGAGGAGCGGAGGAGGAGGAGGAGGAGGATGAGAGGAGGGACAGGAGGAGGAGGAGGAGGAGGAGGGAGGAGGAGGAGGAGGAGGATGAGAAGGATGAGGCCCAGGAGGCGGAGGTGGCGCCCGCTCTCGCCTCGGAGCCACTCGCCGGAGGCCTCTCCTCCAGTGGTGGCGGCGCCGCGGCCTCCCACAGGGGCCCCGGCGGCGCCTCCAGCGCCGCCCCTGTCGCGCTCCGCGCGCCCGGTGTGGGCTCAAGCGCAGATCCAAGAGATTCGTGCGGAGCGCCAGCTCGAGAGAGACAGAGAGAGAACAACTCTCCTCCTCCTCCTCCTCCGCCTCCTCCTCCTCCTCCTCCTCCGCCTCCTCCTCCTCCTCCGCCTCCTCCTCCTCCGCCTCCTTCTCCTCCTCCCCCACACTCACCAGGCTGATTTTACAGTTCTTCCGGAACTCTTGCGGACTTCGTCGGCACGCCCCCACGGCGACGATTGCGAGTCGCGCCGTGGCACGCCCCCACGGGGACGATCCAGAAGAGGAGAGAAGCCGCCACAGACATAAAGCTGTTGGCAGCAGTTCATGTCTGTGGCGTGTTTCCTTCTTCTAGACGCTGTGTCTCGCCCTCTCGCAGGGCACTGCGGCGGGCCGGGCCGCGGCGGCGGGGGGCGGCGCGGCGGAGGGGGGCGGCGCGGCGGGGCTCTTCGCGAGGACGCTGGGCCACGCGGTGTTCCGCGACCCCGCGAGGGTCGCGGAGGGGCGGGAGGACGCCTTCCCCTTTGTGCCAGAGGCTCGGGGGCAACGCCATGGTCGAGTCGGGCGTGTCCCTACACAGGAGGATCACTCAAAGATAGTCAAGAGATAGTCTGGGGACGATCCATTTCGACTTTTTTTGGTGTGCCAATGTGAGAACATTCGTCTGGACTTTTTTCGACTTTCGCCCAACATCTGCCTGTAGGAGGACATGCCCGACCCAACGCCAGGGGGGGTTGGGGGGAAGGAGAAGCGACACCAATATCATCAGGGGGGCACCTCCAGCGAGGAGGTCCACGATGCCTCCCGGTGAAGTCAGGCATGTCCTCTACAGGAGGAGCATCCAAAAATGGTAGCAGGTAGCCTGGAGACGATGTTTCGATAATTCTTTGACTGCTCTTGCGCATCTGTCTGGGTACGTGTTAACGTTCGTCCCAAATCCGCCTGGGGGGGAGGGACATGCCCGATCGAAGCTCAGGGGGACTGCCTCGACCCGCAGATCCCGAGCGGCCACCAGATGCCCAGGCTCCGGCCAAAAACCACCGGGGGATGGGCTCGGGGGGAGCGCATGGATCCCCAGAAGGGAGCGGGGGGGGGCGGGGCGACAGGGAGGAGGAGGGAGGGGGGGCGAAAAGGGGGGGAGGGAAGGTAGGAGAGGAGGAGGAGAGGAGGAGGAGGAGGAGGGGAGGAGGAGGAGAGGAGGCAGGAGGAGGAGATGGGGAGATGAGGGCTGGGGTCCCTGGGGCCCGCCCCGCCCAGGGCGTGCGATCGATCCACCGGCCGCCGATCTGCCGGCGATCCTCCTCCTTCTCCTTCCCTCCCCTCCTCCTCCTCCTCCTCCTCCTCCTCCTCCCCTCCTCCTCCTCCTCCTCCTCCTCCTCCCTCCCTCCCTTCCTCCCCCCTCCCTCCCTCCCTCCTCCCCCCCCCCCTCCCTCCCCTCCTCCTCCTCTCTCCTCCTTCCCTCCTCCTCCTCCTCCTCCTCCTCCTCCTCCTCCTCCTCTGTATCTATGGCTTATGCCAGCTCCAGGTCCCCCCCCCCCCCCCCCCCGTGAGCCGGTCCCCCCCCCCCTAACGTGTTGCCCATCGCAGGCGCGGTCCGCGGATGCCGTGCCGCTGGCGAGGAGGCTGGCCATGTTCCTGAGCGGGACGAACGAGGCATGGTGGAGCCATCGTGAAGTCGGGCCTGTCCCACTACAGTCACTACGGGAGGAATATGCAACAGTAGAGAATATCGTCTGGGGACGATTTTTGTAATTCATGTTGTTTGACTATGTTGAACGTTTTTTGTTGATGCTTTGATTTTTCCCCACCATCCTGTGGCGTTTGGGTCCTCGTTTTGAAGCGAGCGCCCTGCGTTCCTCCTTCCTCCTCCCCCTCCTCCTCCCCCTCCTCCTCCCTCCTCCCCTCCCTGCCTCTGCCCTCCGCATGCCCATCCTTTGTCGGCCCACCCCTCACACGTTTCGCGGCCCCATAGGGAGCTCCACCTAAGGCCCCAGTGGGAAAGTTCGCATGGCACCGCCGCCCCATTTCGGCACACCCCTCACACGTTTCGTGGCCCCATGGGGAGTTCCGCCGAAGGCCCCAGTGGGAAAGTTCGCATGGCACCGCAGCCCTTTTCTGGTACACCCCTCACACGTTTCGTGGCCCCATAAGGAGCTCCACCTAAGGCCCATTGGGCAAGTTCGCATGGCACCGCCGCCCCATTTCGGCACACGCTTCGTGGCCCCATAGGGAGCTCCACCGAAGGCCCCGTTGGGAAAGTTCGCATGGCACCGCAGCCCCATTCTGGCACACCCCTCACACGTTTCGTGGCCCCGTAGGTAGCTCCGCCGAAGGCCCCTGTGGGCAAGTTCGCATGGCACCGCCGCCGCATTTCGACACACCCCTCACACGCTTCGTGGTCCCGTGGCACCGCAGCCCCATTCTGGCACACCCCTTACACGTTTCGTGGCCCCACAAGGAGCTCCACCTAAGGCCTACTGGGAAAGTTCGCATGGCACCGCCGCCCCATTTCGGCACACCCCTCACGGGTTTCGTGGCCCCATGGGGAGCTCCGCCGAAGGCCCAAATGGCGACGTTCGCAGGCGTCCTCCCGACTCGTGTCGGCACACCCTTCGCACGTTTCGTGGCGGAAGCCTATACCGCGTGCGCTACTCGGAGTTTGCGCGCCCCCCTCCTTCGTCGCATCTCCCTCGCGGCACTCGCAGCTGTATCTGGTTGGTTCGTTCAGGATCCCCCTGTAGGAGGACAAGCCCGACCTAAAACAATCGGCGAGTGACGGAGTGACATGCTACGCTATGCTATGCTATGCTGTGCTCTGCTATGCTAAAGCTCAGAGAAGCTAAGATGAAGGTAAGCTAAGCTAAGATAAACCTGAGCTAAGATGCAGCTAAACTAAGCTAAGATGAAATAAGCTAAGCTAAGATGAGATAAACAGCGCTAAGCTAAGGGGACGTAACTGGGGGAACCGCGGGGCGGATACTGGGGGAACCGCCCGGGGCGCTTTCCACTGCCCGGCCCCTTTAAGCCCAGAGAGTAAGAACCCTTCTAGGCAGAGCCTAGGTAGGGAACAATCGGCGAGTGACGGAGCGACATACCCACCGTTCGCCGCTCGAGGGGCCTCTCTGGGCCTCCTTGTGGCCGTCTTGGGGCGCTCCAGGGCCGTTCTGGAGGCCATCTTGGGCGTCTTGGAGGTCTGCGGGGCCTCTCTTGGGCCGCCAGGGGGCCATGGTGGAGGCCTCTTGGGCGCTCTGGGCGCCATCTGGGAAGCCTCTCGGGCCGTCCTGGGCCGTCGGAAAGCCGCAAAAGAGCAAATGCCCAAATCTTTCAAGTACCCAAGGCAAGTTATTGGTTTTGCCTCTTCGGGCTTTCCTGGAGATCCTCTTGGACACCTCTTGGGCCGTTCTGGAACCGTCTTGATGGCCTCATGCGCCATCTTTGAGCCATCTTGGGCCGTCTCGGGTGCATCTCGGCCCGTCTTGGAGACATCTTGGAGCCATCTTTGGCTCTCTTGGGACCACCCTTCTTGGATGCATCTGGGAGGCCATCTTGGGCCAGGAGGCCAGCAAGCTTTCGTTTTTTTCGCCCTGCCTTCCTGGTGGCCTTCGCGATCGCACGGGGCTAGGACGAGGAGGAATCCGTTCCAGAGCGTTCCGGAACGCTCTCAGAACGTTCCAGAACGCTCTGAGAAGGCCGCGGCGCCCGAGACATCCTCCAGAGCCGCCGGGTCTCAGATATTCTCGATTTGTCCTCACCCGAATTTATCTTCGTCCTGGCCTCGTCCGAACCTTGGAAAACACTAGAACAGACATCCGGCACGCCGTGCACCTCTGAGGCATGCCACAGGGGGCCAGCGGATGCTGAAGACGCCCTGGGGAGTCACCGCCGCCACGCGCCGTTTTGGAGAGCGCCTCAGTGGCCCAACGCTTGGCCACAACCTTGGTCAAGCTATCGAAGAAGGAGGAGGTGGAGGAGGAGGAGGAGGAGGAGGAGGAGGAGCATGAGGAGGAGGAGGAGGAGGAAGCCTCTTGGGAGCCTCTTGGGGCTCTCTTGGGTCTCAGGGGGCCGTTGGGTTCTCTGCTGGGTGGCATCTTTGTCCATCTTAGGGCGTTCCTGGGCCAGTTTGGCGCCCTCGGTAGCCATTTGGTGGGGTCTCTCTGAACCGGCTTGGGGCGCTCAAGGGCCGTCTTGGCAGCCATGTTGTGCATCATGGAGGCCTCTTGGGCCGTCTGTGGGCCATCTTGGGGCCTCTTGGGCCGTCATGGGGCTATTTCGGAGACCTCCTTGGCGATCACTTCGAGAGAACGCTCCGCGGGGAAGCGTCATAGTTGATATTTTGCTTGCCGCGCCGCCGCCTTGGCTCAAGGCGGCGGCGCCCTATTTGCCAGGCATCCCAGCGGTACCCCCACATGCGGCGGTGCGGGATGAGAAGTGGCCTTTCTGTTTTCCGTACCGCCACCGACATTGTATGCATTTGTGTTCAACAATATTTTTTACATTTTTTTTAAATTTATGTATATATGTATACACATCGATATTTATCATGCGATGCAAGCTTTCACTTGGCAGCGGAGCTGTCGCACCTGCGACAGCTCCGCTCGCATTCCCTCTCTACCTGCCGGTGATCGACGACTACCAATGCCCCCGTCGCCCGCGACTACGCATGAGGCCGCGAAGTGTGTGAGAGGAGTGTGCCGAAATTTGTGCGGGACCGCATGCGGACTGCGCCACTGGGACTCTCGCTGGAACCCCCGATAGGGCCACAGCCGCGCGAGGGCTGTGCCGAATTGGTCGGCGGCACTGCATGCTGTCTGCGCCACCTGGTCCTTCGATGGAGCTCCCGGTGTGGCCACGGAACGTGGGGGGTGTGCCGAAGCTGGTGGCGGCACCGCGTGCGGGCTGCGCCGCTGGCTCCTTCGGATGGAGCTCCCTGTGGTGCCGACATGGGTGGCGATGCCGCGTGCAGGCTGAGCCGCTGGGACCTTCGGTGGAGCTTCTTATGTCGGGAGCGGAAAAGAGGGGGGTGATGACTAGGGGGGGGGGGGGGATTTCATGGCGCGGGCCATGATTTTCCCTCAGATTTCATGGCGCCTCTTCTTATTCTACTACGTCCCAGGCCCCCCCGCTGGGCCGCGCACATGCCGCCGGTCATGATTTGCACCCCCCCCTCTTGCACCCTCCCCTCTTGGCCGCTCCCGATGATGGGGCCACGAAGAGTGTGAGAGTGTGCCGAAGTGGGCGGCGGGACCGCATGCAGGTTGCGCCATTGGGGCCTTCTGCGGAGCTCCCTGTGGGGTCGCGCGACGTGTGAGGGGTGCGCCGAAATGGGTGCGGCACCGCATGCGGGCTGCGACACTGGGACCTTCGGTGAAGCTCCCTAGGGGTCCACGAGCCGGGCGAGGGATGTGCCGAAATGGGTGGCGCCACCGCATGCGGGCAGCGCCGCTGGGACCTTCGGTGGAGCTTCTTATGGGGCCACGCAACGTGTGATGGGTGTGCCGAAATAGGTGCGGCAACGCATGTGGGCTGCGCCTTTGTTCGGTGGAGCTTCCTGTGGGGCGACGAAACATGTGAGGGGTGTGCCGATATGGGTGGCGACACCGCATGCGGGCTGAGCAAATGGGACCTTCGGTGGAGACAAAGCCGGACCAGGACCAATCGGGGATCTCTGAGGTCCAGCGGTTCTGGAGGATGGATGTGTGGGGGGGAGAGTATCCCGCCCACACCTGCGTTGCGTCTTCGGGGGACTTCGCTTGTCCCCAAAATTGTTGTCTTTATCTTGCGCCCGACGCGGGCTCGATGCGGACTCGACCCGGATGTTGCCCGGACTCGACCCAGATTCGACGTGGATTCGACGATTCCGACGTGGATTCGACACGGGCTCGTCGCGGAGGGGGGTGCGTCCCTTGAAGATGACACGTGCGTTGTCTTTGGTGGTGAACACGGAGAGGGACCCTCCCCCGCCGGCAACCCCAAAATTGATCCCCGCGGGCGTTTTTTCTCCGCCAGCCCCCGAGTTCGGCCCGAAAAGTTTCGCCGCTCGAAGATCGGCGGTTGGCGAGGGGGGGGGTGTGAGAAGGAAAACCTTCCCAGAAGGCGGCAGGACTTTTCAGAAGCGCGTCGGCCGTCCGAGAAGTTGTTTGTTTCTCCGGGGAAAGCTTGGAAGACGTCACAGAAGGCCGGGGTTTCCGAGCTTTCTGAGAAGGCCCGCCCCTTCTCAGTTCCTACCCGGGCTCGCCGCAGAGAAAAAGGTGGAACTCTGGGATACGCCCCAAGGGCCATTCGGACACACCCCTCTCGAGGATGGACGCCCCCCCCACGTAGAGCCCAGGATTGTGGCCCCAAATTTCTGGTCCCTTCGAAAGCACCACGAAGCCTTGGATAGAGGTTGACATATCCCCTGGTCGACATATCCCCTGTCAGACCCCCGTCGCGGGCAGACGCTGCCGCTCCCCCCCCTCCTCCTCCTCTTCCTCCTCCTCCTCCTCCTCCTGCTTCTCCTCCTCCTCAGGCTCCTCCTCGTCCTCCTCCTCCTGCTCCTCCTGCTCCTCCTCCCTCTCCTGCTCCTGCTCCTTCGTCTCCTGCTCCTCCTTCTGCTCCTCCTCCTCCTCCTCCTCCTCCTCTCCTCGTCCTCCTCCTCATCCTCCTCCTCCTCCTCCCCTCCTCCTCCTCCTCCTCCTCCTCCTCCTCCTCCTCCTCTCCTCGTCCTCCTCCTCCTCCCCGATGTGCGGCGACGGGGCGAGGCGGACCCCCGTCCGGTTGCGCGGAATGGTTTTTGACGTTGGCCCCGTCGAGCGGGGGGGCCTGTCCCTCTATAGGAGAACAGTCAGAATTAGTCAAAAAATACTCCAGGGACAATTTTTGGACTATGTTTGATGTTTTTGTTGTTATTCCTTATTTTTCGCCCAAAACCCGCCTGTAGGGGGACATGCCAGACCTAGCGCTACTTACAGTCAGCCAGCACGGCACACGGGCGGCGGGCAAGGGGGGGAAGCGAGAAGGAGAAAGCCATCTCAGAAGGCGGCGGGGCTTCTCAGAGACTCTCGCCCCTTCCGAGAAGTCTTTTTCTGTGTCTTTTGGGAAGGCTTTGACAGCCACCTCAGAAGGCCGGGGAACTTCCGAGCCTTCTGAGGAGGCCCGCACCGTCTCATTTCCCCCCTCGCTCGCCGCCGAGTAATGACGAGCAGCTTTCCAAGGCCACCCTCACCTTCGGCCTATCTTTGGCCGCTTTCGCTGGCCGCGCCCCGCCCGCAAAGGATCGGCATGCCCATCGGAGGCTCTTGCATCCTCGTCTTGCGTCCTCACTGCACGGGTTGACCGTACCAAGGTCAGGTCGTCGGATCAGGCCCGTGCGCCAGAAGGCGAGCACCATGAATGGCGCAGGCGGTGGCACTCGGCAGGGTGCTGTACCCGCGCGCACCGCGATCCTAGGAAGCAGTACGTGCGTCTAGAGGGGGGTTGGGCTCATTCACATGGCGTGCTCATTGAGAATGGTTGCTCGCCGTTGGAAATCATCTGGAGGCCAAGACCGCCACTGATAGCCGATCACACATGCGTTGATGAGATCCACGGACCAACGAGCCATGTTGGGGAGCAAAAACGCAAACGAGGTGTGTAAAGGTCTTGAGGTGAGTTGGTTTACCATGGCGAACATGGTGGGCTCGCGTCGGGCGCAGCAAGTTGTTCGGGCGCTGCGAAGGTGGCGATCGCGCAGGGGAGGTTTGGCGACCATGGGGACATTGGATCACGCATGGGAGCACTGATTTGGACGTGGGCAAGGTTATATTGTTGGGTGAAGAGAACTATGCACATGGCACTGATCCTGGCAAGGCCCATCCTTGACCCAGGATCGGTGCATATGCCTTCCTGGCCAAGGTAGGCGGGCGTATGCACCGATCATGGGCACAGGATGGGCATGGCCAGAATCTGTGCATGTGCATAGTTCTCGTTCCTATATACTGTCACTGGTGAGATGACAAAGACATGGGGAGTCCAGAAAAGGCACGGGGAAGTTAGGACTGACATGGAGGAGTTGAAAAAAGGTGCGGGGATGTTGAAAATGCCATGTAGGAGTTCACAACGCCATGGGCTCCTCGGGAGGCCTCGTTGGCCATTCGGAGCCGCCCTGGAGCGGTCGTGGTGCCCTTCGGAGGCATCCCGGATGCCATCTTGAGCCGTACAGTCGGGGCCATGAAGAAGGAACCCTTTTCGTTGGGGAGGGGCTCCGCGTTCCTCAAGTGTTTCGCAGTTTGCCTCCGGTTTCCCTCAGGTCTTCGATACGAAATCGAACTTCAACTCATGGAAAATGGGGGCCTCGTTCCTTATTTCGGGTTCCTTAGGGTCAACGCCCCGACTGTACTCGGCCACCCGGAACAGCCTCGGAGGCCCTCCTGGCGCCCCCGGGCCCCTCCTATAGGCGCCGCCCCGGCCCACCGCGGACCCGAGAGGCCCTCTCCTGGCCGCTCGCGGCCCCCCCCTCGTCGAGACCCCCGGGGGGCTGACCGGGGCAGCGCGCGGGAGTGCCCTCTGCCCGGGGCGCCGGCTGGGAGTTCGAGCTCCCCCCGGCCCTCGCTGGGCGGGCCAGAGGGGCGGCCCCCCCGGCCGTGGGCGCGGGGGCCGCCCGAGCCCCGCAGCGCGTGCGCCAGGCGGGCCTCCTGGGCTCGCCCCGGCCTCGGCGATCTCCAGGCCTCGCCCGACGCTCCCCGTGGCCCATGCACGCTCCCCCGGCGACCGCCCAGGCTTCCGCACGCCCCCCGCGCCGACGCGCAGCCCCCGTGAATGTCCATCCGACCTCTCCAACCCCTTCCACCTCGGAGCGAGCCAGGCGGTTCCAGGGAAGGCTGCTGCCCGTCATGGCCCACGGGTCTCATCAGCACATGCGACGCTCCGTTTTTTGTCCATGCGCCGTCCCAGGAAGTCCCGACCCTTTCCCCGGGACCAGCTCTTTATCCCAGGTCGTTCTTGCTCGGCCTTGGGGGCCCCCGCGAGGGCCCCCCCGAGGCCTTCACGGCGAAACGGGCCTCCCACGACGCGAGCACGCCTGGGCACCAAGTGCAGCGCAGCCCCGCGCCGCCCCCGAGCCGCGAGGCGGGCCCCGCCGTGGCCGCGCAGGAGCTCCGCCTCGACGCCTGCTCCCAGCAGCTGCGGGCCTACCTCGCCGACCTGCCGCGCCTGCGCGAGGCGCTGCGCGACCCCGTCGCCGCGCTGGAGAGCCGCCTGCGCGCCGCCCGGGCCGCCGAGCGGCGGCTCTCCCGACTGCGAAGAAGCCGCAGCGCGGCGCCCTCCGCGGAGAGACACCGCTGCCGCGCGCGCGCGCCGCGGCCGAGGTGGCGACCCCACCCGAGGATCGGGGCGCCGTGCGAGCACGGAGGCTCGAGAGGCTCCAGGCTCGAAGCTCGAGGGTCGCCGCACGAGACTCGCGAGCCGAGGGTCAGAGCCGACGGGGCAGCGCCGGCGATACATATATATACATATATATATATATATGTATATATATGTACACATATTCATATATATACACATATATACATACATACATACATGTATATATATATGTATATCTATACATAGGTGTATATAGTATATACACACGTACCATTTTAATTGTTATATAGAGATATAGGAATGAGTAAATTATGCTACCGAGGAACCCATGGCTGGAGTGATGGTAACTGAAGTGAAGCATGTGATAATGATGTTGGTGGCCGTTATACCGTTGTGCCCTGGACGACCTTCGCGGATAGCGGCCGCGGTGAGAGACCCCCTCTTTGCGCACCTCTTATGGTGTCGAGAATATGTCATGCCTGCTGAGCCATGGACGACCGTCACGGATAGCGGCCCTGGTGAGCGACCACCCCTTGCGCACCCCCTAATTATGGTGTCGAGAATCTGCCATGCTTGCTGTGCCACGACCGTCACGGATAGCGGCCGCGGTGAGAGACCACCCCCTGCGCACCCCCTATCTGGTGTCGAGAAAATGCCATGCCTGCCGTGCCATGGGCGACCGTCACGGATAGCGGCCGCGGTGGGAGATCACCCCCTGCGCCCCCCCTTTATGGTGTCGAGAAAATGCCATGCCTGCTGTGCCCTGGACGACCGTCACGGATAGCTGCCGCGGTGAGACACCACCCCCTGCGCACCCCCTATGGTGTTGTGTGTCAATGTGCTGTGTGGTGCGCTGAGCTGTGCTATGCTGTGCTGTGCTGCGCTACGCTGTGCTGCTCTGTGCTGTGTGAGAAGGAGAAGGAGGGGGAGGTGTGTGTGTGTGTGTGTTTGTGTGCGGGAGACGCTGGTGCGACGCGGCAAGGATGAACACCAGAACTGTGCTGTGCTGTGCTGAGCTGTGCTGTGCTGTGTTGCGCTGCGCTGCGCTGTGCTGTGCTGTGTGAGAAGGAGGAGGAGGAGGAGGAGGAGGAGGAGGAGGAGGAGGAGGAGGGGCAAGGAGACGCGGGTGCGACGCGGGAAGGAAGAAAACCAGAACCCCTCTAAGCATGTGGGGAAAAATACCGCCCCCCTGGCCCCGGGTCTCACACCTCCCCAGCACATCTCGGGGACGCTCCCGGTACCGCTCACCTGGCCTTTCGGGGGAGCCTCCACAGCGCCCCATGACGACCCAAGACGACTCCCAGGACCCCCCAAAATGCAAAAGGATGGTCCAAGACATTCCCAATCAACCCAAGTTAGCGTTCCGACGGCTCTCGAGGCTCCCAGGTGGCCTCAAATTCTTAAAAGACCCCGAGAGAGGTCCGAGAGGCGTTCCGGGACGGCCCGAAGAGGCCCAAACCGTCGATTCTCATTGTTTTTTTTCCCATGTTTTTGGCTTCTCGCGTTTTCGAGCTTCCAATGGTCCAGCAGCGCCGAAGAGCCGCCCAAGACGGCCCCAAGACCACCCAAGAGACCCTCAAGACGGCCCCAAGACGGGCCAAGAAGGCTCCAAGACTGCGAAAGAAGCGCTCAGGACAGCCCCAGATCACTCCTGAACAGGCCCAAGATGGGCCCAAGAGCGGGAGAAGGAGGCATCCTGCAGAGACCTCCGAGAGGCCTCCGGGACCCCCCAGAGGCCCCCAACACACCTCCGACCCCTGAGAGGCCCCAAGAAGACCCCGACGAGTCTCCAAGAGCAGCCCAAGAGAGCTGCGAGAGCCGTCCCGAGAGAGCCCAAAGAGGGTCAAGTCGTTGATTTCCAATGGTTTTTCTAATGCTTTTCGCCTTCTCACGTTTTCCCGCTTCCAACCCTCGAAGATCGAGGATCTTGAAAAACATGGAATTCACAGAATTTCTTCTTTTTTTTTCAAGTGGGACTCCTACTCGGAGATCCCATACATCCCCTGACATCTGGCCGATACCGCGCCTCCCGGCTTCCAGGGGGTCCCCAAGACGCCCAAGGAAAGCCCAAGACGACCCCAAGGATCCCCCAGAACGTAAAGAACGGCCCAACACGCTCCCGCGCAGCCCGAGACAACCTTCCGACGGCTCTCCAGGCCTCCAGGAGGCCTCCAGATCCCGCAGGGGGTCCGGAAGATCCCACACCCTTGAGGGGCCCGGCTAACCAATCCCGCGAGGCACAAACAAAAAACAGCGCCGAACAGTGCCGAGGAACTGGACAAAATTGGAAATCCCACAATTTCTTTGTTTGTTCAAGTTTGGCCTCCCGGTCTACTCTGGCACAATTAGACCACAATTCAGACCCCCCTCACCTCCCAATAAAGAAGCGAGGAAGGGATCCTAAATCGTTGAATACCTAAAGGGCTTAATGAATTCTGCGTTGCCGCACTTCCCCTTCTATACGATTTCGAGGCTTGCGCAGGGCCTCCAAGGGAGTCCCTGGACGCAAGAAGCGACCAATATGAAATTACATGAGTTAGCCTATCAAGCCTAGCTAGAACTTGAGCGCGCGCGAAGCGATACATGTCTATAGTTATGCATGCACATGGATATGATGGTATGCATATATGCATTCATCGGTTTACACATGTAGCTATATGTATACATACATGCATGTGCATATATGTAGATATACATGTGTATATATACATATCTACACATTAGCATGTATATATGTAGAGAGATCGAGAAAACATAGCCACAACTCAACAGACTCTCCTTGCGCTCGCGCGCGCCGCGGCGGCGGCGACGCCGCTCGAGGACCTCGAGGTTTCTGGACCAACACCTCCAACGAATTTGAGCCATCAGGATTCTCGGGGGTGGCCAAGAGGGGGGTGATGACCAGGGCGGGGTGCATATCATGGCGGGGGCAATGATATCTTCCCAGATGTCATGGCGCCTCTTCCTATTACAGAGCGTCCCCTGCCCCCCCCCCGGGTTTACACTGGTTCTCCTCCTCCTCCTCGCTCCTCCTCCTCGTCGTCCTCCTCCTCCTCCTCGTCCTTCTCCTCCTCCTTTCCTCCTCCTCCTCCTCCTCCTCTTCGCTCCTCCTCCTCCTCCTCTCGTCGTGTCCTCCTCCTCGCTCCTCCTCCTCCTCCTCGCTCCTCCTCCTCTTCCTCCTCCTCCTCCTCTCCTCGTCCTCCTCCTCCTCCTCCTGCTCCTCATCGCTCTCCTCGTCCTCCATTTTTGTCTTCCTCTTCTCCTCCCACCTCTGCCTCTCGCTCCTGCTCCTCTCCTCCTCCTCCTCCTCTTCACTTCCTTCACCCACCTCCTCGGTTCGTTCTCCTCCTCTCCTCCCTCTCCTTTACTCCCTCTCTCTCCTCTCTCTCCCTCCTCCTCTCCTCCTCCTCTGCCGCCTCCTCGCTCCTCCTTTCTCCTCCTCTCTCTCTCCTTTTCTCCACGCTCTCCCTCCTTTCGCTCCTTCGCTCCTCTCCTGTTTCTCCTCTCCCTAATCAGTCGTCTCCCTCTTTCCTCTCGCTCGTTCCTCCTTCCTTCTCTCTCCTTGCTTCGCCTCTCATCTTTCTCTCCTCTTTTGCCTCTCTCCTGCCACTCGTCCTCAGTTTATCTTTCTTTCCCGCCCCTTCTTTTCATCTCCGTTTCCTTCCTCTTCCTTCCTTCCTCTCTCCTTCTACCTCCTCCACATCCTCCTCTCCTCCTCCTTCTCTCCTTCTCCTCTCTCATCCTTCTCTCCCTCCTCCTTTTTTCTCGTCCTCGCCTCTCGCTCCTCGCTCCTTCGTCTCGTCCTTCGCTCCTCTCTTTCTCCTCGCTCCTCTCCTCCTCGCTCCTCCTCCTCGCTCCACCCCCTCGCTCCTCCTCTACCTCCTCCTCCTCCTCCTCGCTTCTCGCGTCTCCTCCTCCTCCTCTTCCTCCTCTTCTCCTCCTCCTTCTCTTCTCCTCCTCGCTCCTCCTCTTCCTCCTCCTCCTCCACCTCGTTCCTCCTCGCTCCTCCTAGCTCCACCGTCTCCGCCTCCTCATCTTCTTCCCCATTCCTCGCTCCTCCTCATCCTCGTTCTTGTCTTCTTCTCCTCGCTTCTCCTCCTCCGTCCTCCTCCTCCTCCTCCTCCTCGCTCCCTGCTCCTGCTCCTGCTCCTCCTCCTCTTCCTCCTCCTCCTCCTCCTCCCTCCTCCTCCTCATCCTCTCCTGCTCTCCTCCTCCTCCTCCTCCTCCTCCTCCTCCTCCTCCTCCTCCTCCTCCTCCTCCTTTACCTCCTCCTCCATCTCCTCCTCATACCTCGCTCCTCCTCCTCGTCCTCCTCTCCTCCTCTCCTCCTCCTCCTCCTCCTCCTCCTCTCCTCCTCATCCTCCTCCTCCTCCTCACTCCTCCTCCCCTCCTCCTCTCCGTCCTCTCCTCCTCCTCCTCCTCCTCCGTCCCTCCTTCCTCCTCCTCCTCCTCCTCCTCCTCCTCCTCCTCTCAAGCCATTCTGGTTCAGGTGCCCCTCCGTCCTGTAGCTGCAGTTGCAGGGGACAGCGCATCGAACCATAGTCCCTACCTCCTCGTGGTGCTTGAGGGGCCCGTGCGCCGTGCTGCTCGCACGGTGGCTAAAGGGGACTCTCTTTCTCTTTCCTGCCATGGGTGGACGTGGACACAAAGGTGCCAAGTCCAAGGGTAAAGGAAACGATGGCAGCAGCACTCGAAGATTATGGACACGATGTTCGTCTTGTGACACATGCGAGTATAACGACATTCTTCTGGCACGCAATTCTACGTGTGCGTGTGGCACTTGGCTGACTTTGCATTTGGGCAAGAAGAAGGGTGACAAGAGCATGAAGGCTGACAATCAGCTCGTCAAGGCTCCTGCGGCCGTCGGAGGCAAGGGCTCTGCCACTGAGCCCACGCCTCTGGCCAAGCTTGAGGCGGCCACTCTTGTCGCGGAAGATCCAGCTCTTCGTTCGGCGTTGCAGGCTCAGATCGATAAGTTGAAGCAGGCCCAAGGGACCTCTCAGAGCAGCGACACCTCGCCCGATGAAGCAGTCAAACGTGCATCAGGAGCAGTACGGGATGCCACGCTGAAGCACGACCAGGCCATCCAGTCCCTCATCAAGGCCAGGAACAACTTGTCGCGAGCGGAGGCTCGCGAGAAGGAGACTTCGCTGGCACTTGCGCGGGCTGAACGGCAGAAGTTGACGGCCTCTAAGGCCCTGGCGTACATCATGGGCATCGCAGCTCCAGAATCTGGCAAGGAGGGCTTCTTCGGAGTGTGCTTCGATGAGACTTTCTTCCAGAACATAGACGGCATTCCAGGTATTACAGACACCGAGAAAGACGAACTCAAGGAGATCGAGCGACAGCTCAAAGGCTTCAAGACGCAGATGGAGACCAAGAATGAGGAGATCATGACCTGGGTCAACAAGAAGGAGCAGATGCAGAAGCAGCTTCACGACAGGTTGGCAAAGAAGAGACGTGCTGATGGTGCTGGGGGCGACGATCCCAAGGTAGCCAGTTCGACTCCAGTCGACCTCACCCAGGAGTCTCCTGAAGCTCAACTCCAGCGTGAAGCTGATCGTATTAGTGAAGTCAAGCTACAGGCAGCGGAGAAGGCAGCGGCAGCCAAGGATGCAGCGTCCAGCTGTGCATCAGCGGCGGCGGCGACCACTTCCACTGGAGCTTTGTGACCTTCCGTGGGCGCCAGCACGCCTCCCACGGTGCTGGCGCAATCCATCGAGGAGGCGCACGCTTACGGCCGTGGCGACTTGTTAGTCCTTGCACGCCCCGACCCCTCGGGGGCCGCCAGCCTCCTGGGCGCTATGGGAGACCCTGGGGGGGCCATCAGCGCCCAGGGTGCAGCAAGGTTTGGCGGCCCTCGAGTCAGGAGGCTTGACGGGCAGTGCAGGCCAGTCAGTCACGGCACACGATCTTCAATTTCGAGAAGGCTCAGCTGGCGTGGTCAAGTCTGGCAGGCCCAAGGATTTCGGAGGCGGGTCGGCACATCGGAGCGCTTCGACGTCGACTACGGCTTCTGAGTCCGAGGTCTTCCAGGTTGTTTACAGTAATGTCACCCAGCTCGGGCCCCAGGCTATCAGATTTTTTCAGGAGAACGTCTCTAGGTACCAGGTCTGGGGCTTCGCCGAAACGCATGTCGACGAGGCTTCTACGGCCAAGTGGGCCAAGGAGGCACGCGTTTTTTCTCATCGGTCCTTGTTTAACCCTGCTAGGCCCTCGGGCAAAGAAACTTCGGAGGCGCAAATTTCCAAGGCCAACGAAGAGGGCGAGGCTTTTTTCGTGGAAGGACAGAGGCAGGTGCAATCAACTGCTGATGCCAAAGTTTTTCCCGAGCTCGCTGTTGCCTCCTGTTCTGCCCTCGACGGTTTCCTTCCCATCACTGTGCATATGCAAGGGTATTCGATAGTGCTTGCGCTCTTTTACGGGCTCCACTCCCAAGGGCTCTCTGGAGATAATGCCCGTAAGGTTGACTCGTTTGGGAGCTTTCGTTTCTGCGCTTTCGTTTCCCTGGATCATCATGGGCGACTTTAATATGTCTCCGTATGCGCTTAATAAATGCCAGTTTATTGACAATCTCGAAGCGGTCGCCATGACCGCGGACATTGAGGTCACTTGCGTCACAGGCACAGGCAGTAGTCACATAGATTACCTCGTGGCCAGCGTCTCAGCCAGACCGTGCATTCTCGGAATTCAAGCCAGGCTAGACGTGCCATGGGGCACTCACTGTGGTTTAGTCGTTCAGCTAGCAGGTAGTAGCCAGTCACTCGTCACCCGCGCTTTGCAGTTGCCCGCTAAGCTACCGCAGGTCTCCCGCCCTGGAACTCTTCCTCAGGTCGGGAGTCGGACCAGCAAGAGCAAGGCCAAGAGAGCCCAGGCCAGGCAGCTAGCAATCGAATCTTTTCGTGAAGCGTGTCAGGAGTATTTCGGAGATCTGCTCGGCCAGTCGGACTCTGGAGGTGCCGAGGCTCCTAGGCCGCAGGCCGAGTCAGATCCCTTCGATCTTGATCCAGCGCTTTGGGGCGAGGACGAGGATAATTCATTATTTCCTGAAGAAGACCTTGGAGAGGTCAGGCAGAATGATCAGCTGAATTCGGACCCCCCCACCACGTTTGAACCCCCAGGTCAGGATGTTCGAGAGGAATCTTTCAGCAAGGCTGAGCCGTCCAGTCCCTCTTTCTCCATTCCTGACTCCAGCTGGCGTCACCATTTGGTTCAAGTGGGTTTCGTTCCTCAAGCCTGCAGCGATGTTGTCTCTTTTGTTCTTGAGTCACATGCGTATCAGGCGGGGGGATCGTACATATTGGGGGTCAGCAGTCTATTCGCAGCTTGGGCTCAGGCTGCCGAAAGAACGATATCAGCTCATCATTCTGCCGATCCTTTGGGAGATGTGTTTCGTGGACGGTCGAGAGCCGACGGCCCAGAACTCATTCAGCAGCCAGTGCAGCAGGCGCAGAAATATCGCGAGCTTCCGCTGTCCGACAAGATTGCTACTTGGTGGGCCAGGGTCTCGGTTATCATTTCGAGGCTCTGCAAACATCGGCAACGGGATAACGGGGGCAAGCAGATCAAAGAACTACTGCACACAGGCATTAAGTTATCGGAGGACGCTCCCGAGGGGGCCCATACAGTTATTATTTCGCATACTTTGGAGCCTTCTCTTGAAGCTTGGGTTCACGACCTCAAGTCTCTCGGGAACCTCGGCGTCGATTTCCTTGTCAAACTTGCTAGCTGTGGCGATCGTATCTCCAATAGAGCCCAGCGTAAGGCAACGCGTCGCTCCTTGTATCGTTTTCAGCAGTGGATCGTCGACGGCAGCAAGCAAGGCCAAGTTTTTCGGAGCTTGCGTTCGGAGCCAGTTCCAGATCACGAGCTTTTGCACCGCGGAGTTAGACTTTTTCATCCTATCGATCTCATCGATGCCAAGGCTGAGAAGTATCACATGCTCTGGTCGGAACATCCAGTCACGCCATCACATGTGTTGGAGCTCATGTCTCGCATTCGTGGTGAGGCGGTCTCGGACGAGCTACCTGAACTCACGGTGCAGGACTTACGTGCAGCGCTTCGGAAAATGCGAGCATCAGCAGGCCTCGGCATCGATCAATTCACGCCTCTCGATTTCGAGAGGCTACCAGATGCGGCATTGGAATCTTTATGTCAATTTTTCACGGCTTGTGAGCAGGCGCTCACCTGGCCCTGGCAAGTACTAGCGGTGCTGGGAAAATTATTAGCCAAGAAGGCTGGAGGGGACAGGGTGATCGGATTACTATGCATGGTGTGCCGTCTCTGGTCCCTGGCGAGAGATGGACATGCCAAGGTGTGGAATTCGGAGACAACACCAGCATGGGACGCTGCAATCTCTGGCAACTCGGCTTTAAGGGAAGCTTTTCGGAGAGTTCTGGATGCTGAAGTTTGCAAGCGTCTGGGGGTCTCTTTTAGTCAGGCTATCCTGGATATTAAAGGCTTTTACGATTCCATCCTCTGAGACATCCTGGTGGATACCGCGTTGAAGCTTGGGCTCCCGTCGGTTATGTTGGGCTTGGAACTTCAGCAATGCATGTCGCCTCGTATTTTGGGCCAGAGCGGGGCTAACAGTCAGGCGTTTCAACCCCACAAATCGATTGTCCAGGGGCTCCGTAACGGGACCAGGTTGGCCAGATGCTTAACTTATTTCATTATTGAAAGAATCTCCCAGGTTCCGTTTTCGGCCACCCAAAGGATTTGGATTGACGATTTGACGTTGCAAATTGTGGGGTCGCATAGGGCCGCGGTTGATTCTACAGTTCAGTGTATCAGTCAGGTGGCGGAGTCTATGGAAGAGTATCACCTTCAGTTGGCAGACAAGAGTGTTGTTATCAGCCCCGTTCATTCTGCTGCGCAGCAAATTGCATGTCGGCTAAAGCGTCGGCGTATTCAAGTCAAGGCAGTTTTGCAGGCGTCACATCTGGGCATCGACCTAGGCGCAGGAGTCAGGCATGCCAGACGTACCAGACGGCAACGGGCCGCCAAGGGGCTTGCGCAGCACCGCAGGTTGAAGGGATATTCTAGGGCTGCTAGGCGATATCTCACCACCAAGAAGATTGAGCTGGCTGGCCCTCAGGCTTGCTCTAATTACGGATTAGATATTTATGGTATTATGGGCTATCAACTCAGGAGGTTACGGCAACGTCTTGGGGCAGTCTCAGGTTCGGGGAAAAAAAGCAAATGCCTCATTACCCTCCTGGACCTCAGAGCTCCTCATCGGGATCCAGGGATTTCGTTACCCACGTCGTGCCTCAGGACTTGGCTGGATTGCTGGATTAGGTTTCCTCAGTCTCACGCTGGTGCATTTCGAGTTTGGGATGCCGTTCGGAGGGATTTAGAAGCTATCGAACCTAACAGAAGGTCACGTCATATTCGAGGTCCTATCTCAGCGGTCATTACTCACCTTCTGTCTGCAGGTTGGACACCGACGGCTCCCAACGACTGGAAAGGACCAGCGCTCCCTGGAGGGGGGTACGACTTTCAATGGACCTTCCCAGCTGAAGCTCTGGTCCCCATCGACGAGGCTGAGGGCTTGCTTCAAGATTTTCGCGACACGTTGGCAGCACACCAGTGGGCAGCAGCAGAGTCTCACTTCTGCGGGGCAGGTATCTCGGGAGGGGTGGCTAATCTTTCCTTGAGGTGTCTCCTCAAGCAGCTTGGATCAGCAAAGCACGGCAGGCAGTTAGCAGAGGTCATGGTGTGGATTGTCACTGGGGGGTGTTGGCCAGAGGATCGCAAATTTCAGGCAGGATTGATCAGCACGAACGAACGTCCTAGGTGCAAGCTTGCAGGTCGCGGGTCAGTCGCAGAGACACCGCTGCACAGGCACTGGCTTTGCCCTAGCAATTGCGAGCATCCAGCTTTCGAGGAGTCAGATCATTTGCTTCCCAAGGCCGTCGCCCAAGGAGAAGCAGAAGCAGTATTCTGGCACAGAGGGTTGTTACCAACCAGTTGGACTTTCGTGCCCCCTCCTCCCGAGGAGGAAAATGGGTATTTTGTGGATATTTTTACCGCGGAGCTGGTCCCTGGAGCCCTGGGCACAGGTTTACCTGGGAACCCAGTGTATGTGTTCGGAGATGCGTCTGGCGGGAAGGAAGGGGGAGACGTCAGGATGAGGAGAGTGGGTGTGGGTTTGCTTGCCGCTGCCTCGCTCCGACCTTTCCAAGTCGGTCCCGTCGTCCTTGGTCCGCTGGCTGGAAGACATCAGTCCGTTCCCAGGGGAGAGCTTCGAGGCCTCGAGTTGGCCATTCGCCTTTCACTCGGGGACCTTGTTTACGTCACAGACAATGATGAAGTTTCGCGAGGTTGGGCTTCCAGGCTGTACGAGCAGCCAAGTGGAGTCATGGCCGCCACGTGGCGGCAGATCGGCCTGCTGATGAAGGCTCGCATTGGTTCAGTTGTGGTTCTCAAAGTCGCCTCTCATGTCGCTCCGTCCGACCAGGAGTTTCGGCTTTTTCCCGACTGGATGATTGCAGGTAACGAGGCCGCCGATGATATTGCTAATGTTGCTGCGCAGGTTGCGAGAGTATCTGAGCATGATCGTGCACGTTTGCTGTTATCAGAGCAGATGGCGAGAGTGGTGCGAAGGCGATTGTTGAGATCCACGTTGGCCGCGATGGAAGCCTCTGTCAGAGCCCGTAGGATTGAAAATCAGTCTGAGCGCCCTCTTGCTGCTGCTGCTGCCGTCCCCCCCCCTGCTCCTCCCGCCCCAGCCGTTGCGGCCATGTTTTCGTCGGCACATGCCATCGACGAGACAGGCGCTCGGTGCATCAGGTGCCGAGGCTCCTCCACGGCAGCCGCCAGGACCGCTTGGATGGCTAGTCCGTGTTTCGAGCTCGAAGCGACTGGGGATGGCACCTGGAGACCTCCGCAGGGGTCGAGGGTACATGTGGGGGGGGTCTGGTGCACGAGTCTCATTGCATGATTTTTTTCTCAGCAGTCTGGAGTGTGGATCTGTGGGGAATGCGGGTTTTTCGGTCAGCTCGTTCTTCGAGAGCTT